AGTAGTAAGTAAGTAAGTAAAAGTAAATAAGAGTAGAGAGAGAGAGAGAGAGAGAGAGAGAGAGAGAGAGAGAGAACTTATAGACACCTGTAAGCTATGGGCAAGGCATACTCCTGAGGTAACATGCATGTTCCTCCCAGAGATCAAATTATACATGTTGTGTTGTTTGACTGGTCCTCATTGATCTTAGAAAATATATTTCGTGAATGGTTAATTGCCAGAGTGGGAGTAGAGAGTGCTGGGGTGGAGGTTAATGGTGGAAAGTTAACCAAGAGAAGTGAAGGAGGACTTGTGGCACCTTAGAGACTAAGGTGCCACAAGTCCTCCTGTTCTTCTTTTTGCGGATACAGACTAACACGGCTGCTACTCTGAAACTTTTCAAGAGAAGTGAGACTGCTTGTGCACAAGAAGAGGAAGGCACAGGGGACAGTGTGAGGAAAGGAGTAGCGCAGTGAATCTTATGTCTACACTGCAACGTTTTGCCAAAGTGAGTTATGTCAGCATACAGCCGCCATGGTTAGTATATCGCTTGTGGACATGCATAGTTGGCTCCTTGTGTCAGCAATGCGCGTACTCACCAGGAGTGCTTGTATCACTGCACAGTGCAGTGCACCATGGCTAGGTATCCCACTGTCTAACTCGTCACCATCCAACACGCTATCTTTTGGGAAATTTTGGCCATGCATGGTGGGACAGAAACAATTCATATAGGGGTGACTCCGTGCAATGGGTCAAGTTCCCAGGGAGTAACCATCTCCATCCCATGATGTCATCTATATCCCATAATTATTGTGCCTTTTTTCAAAATCCCTCACACCCGTGTGGCCCTCCTCACTGTCTGCCATCTCTGACAGAAGCATGGATCCTGCACGGCTCTGCACTGTTGTCAGGAGGGTTGCAAGCACAGGGTGCATGATCCTCCAATATTTGCAGCACCACAAGAAGAACCGAAAGAGAGGGGAGTGAAGGTTTCATGTTTCTAAAGAGAGAAAATGCAGATAAGGCCTTCTTCATATCCATCAGAAAGAAGCAGGTAAGGGCACAAACGCTTGTTTTCTTTGCAGGTCACTATAACTTTCTAGGATTTTATTTTGCATAGACACCTGCCATTTTACTTGCTTTTATCATTATTTATATTACAGTAGCTCCTTGAGGCCTCAACTGAGATTGGGGTCCCACTGTGCTATTTTTTTATACTGGCTTATGCTAAAACAGAGCCCCGCCCTGAAGAGTATACAGTCAAGGCAGACAATGGATGCGAGGGGAAACCAACACATGGAGAGGAAAAGTAACTTGCCCAAGGTTATAAAGCAGATCAACGGCAGAGTCAGGAAAAGACCCAAGTCTCTTGGCTCGTATGATATGTCTACACTGTGGCTGAGAGCAAGCCTCCCAACCCGGGTAGACAGACTCATGCTAGCTCCATTCAAGCTAGTGTGCTAATCATAGCCATGTGAGCGTTGTGGCACGGATGGTGGCTTGGGCTGCCCAAGTCCAAGCCCACCTGAAGCCCTGGGTCTGAGGTTGGGTGGCTAGCCTCAGCCACTGCTTGTGCACCAATGTACACGCTGCTATTTTCAGTGCACTAGCTTGAGCAGAGCTAGTTTGAGTCTGGCTACCAGTGCTGGGAGGCTCACTCCCAGCTGCAGCACCCTACTCACTAGACTAATGGTCTCCAACCTTTTTACAACCAAGATCACTTTTTAAATCTAAGGGCAACCCAGGATCTACCCCGCCCCTTCCCCAAAGCCCTGCCCCTTCCCCAAAGCCCCATCCTGCTCACTCCATCCCCTCCCTCTCCGTTGCTCGCTCTCTCCCACCCTCACTCATTTTCACCAGGTTGGGGCAGGGTGTTGGGGTTCAGGAGAGGGTGCAGGCTCTGGGCTGGGGCCAAAGGGTTCGCAGTGTGGAAGGGGGCTCTGGGCTGAGCCTGGGACAGGAGGTTGGGGGGCAGGAGGGGTACTGGAGGGTGCTGGCTCTGGGAGGGGGGATCAGGGTTGGGGCTTGGAGTGCAGGAGGGGGCTCAGGGTGCAGAAGTGGGTATGGGGTGCTGGCTCCAGGAGGGGGCTCGGGGATGGGGGTTGGGGTGCAGCCTCCCACCAGGCAGCACTTACCTCCGGCAGCTCCCGGTCAGTGGTGGGCACAGCAAGGCTAGGGCAGGCTCCCTGCCTACCCTGGCCCCACACCGCTCCCAGAAGGGGCCAATGCACCCCTGCATCCGCTGGGGGGGGGCGAGGGGAACGTGGCTCCACGTGCTGCCCCTCTCTGCAAGCATCGCCCCTGCAGCTCTCCTGGCCAATGGGAGCTGTGGGGCCGGTGCTTACAGGCAGGAGCAGTGCACAGAGGGCAGGGCTGCCCAGAGGATTCAGGGGTCCTGGGGCAAAGCAATTTCGGGGGCCCCTTCCATTAAAAAAAGTTGCAATACTATATTCTCGTGGGGGCCCCTGCAGGGCCCGGGGCCTGGGGCAAATTGCCCCACTTCCCCCCCTCCCCCCCCCGGGCGGCCCTGATGGAGGGAGACCCTTGGCCTCCTGCCCTCCAGGGCTGCAGGGCTGTGCTGGCCGCTTCTGGGAGCGGCTTGGGGCCGGGATAGGCAGGGAGTCTGCCTTAGCGGCAGCCACACTGCACCACCAGAGATCACGATCGACTGGTTGGTAACCACTGCACTAGACCATGTTTCCCCTCTGCTTTTATTAATATTCCAGCTCCTAGTTCTACTTTCTCTGGGAATGGAAAACATGTCTCGACTGAGCTACGTGGCTACTCCATGCCATATATTTGAGATCTCTTACAAATGATGGGTCTCTAGTTCTCTCCCAGCTCTCTTACAAATTCAGGCAGTGTTCCAAACCCTTGGAAAATACTTTAAAGGGTATTTTTTCTAGCTGCAGTGATGCAAATAGTGTATTCCCTGGCACACTTTGTGTCTTTGATATATTATGCTCCTTGAACTAGCCCAAGAATTTCACATGCTCGATTGCCTAAGAGAACCTCTTCCGTCTGGTGTTACAATGAACAGCAAAAAATGCTTTTTACCTTCTTTGGTCACGTTCAAACACCCTCCCTGCCACTTCGGTTGCAGGGTCATAATGGGCTTAAGTGCAACTTTCTTGTTTGTATAATTTGGCCTATACTTCAGGCTTCATGGTTATCAAAATTGTTTTTATGCCACTGCTTAATTTCAAGATGGCCTGTTACTGCACCATGCATCTGGGCCCAGCTGCAGAAATAGCTACTGAATGGCCTCACTAAGCATGCAGTGGGGTACATTTTAGAACAGAAATAAGGATAAGCTAGAGATGTTGCCAAGCTAGTACTGAATCTAAATTCTTCCTGTGCCATCACACATCACTTAAGGTCTGAACGAGGCTCTGTCATCCCTGGCTGTCATGCTGCTTGACAGAATGGCTACCTTGTTGTGGTTCTAGAACTTGACTTTGTTTGCTTTTTTCCCTTTTCTTCCTAGTATAGGTTGCTGGCCTATTGCTGAACCCCCAACCCAAAGGGCCAGTGAGCTGCTATTCGTCTGCTCCCTACCCTTTGACTTATCTGGCTTGAGTAGCCTTACCAGGAGCTATATTCCTGCCAGCAGAGCTCCCAGGATCATTGGAACACATAAGTCACCATGTCAAGGTGCAGTCCCTACAGAAGGTAATATTAAGTAAATAACCTCTATAAATGTATAGGTCCCAGTGTGTCTTCTGGCTGGCTCCAGATTCATTGTTAAACTTATTCCTGCGCTGAATGCCTTCCCCTCTCCGGCTGGTTAACTGGAGCACTCAGCACATTTTTTTGTGGTTGGCTCACTTTCTGTTTCCTTTATACGTCACCTTTAAAGGATATGATTGATCCATTAATTAACCAGTGGTCAGCTATTGCCGTGCAAATACCATCACAGGGATGTGTTTTCTTGCGCATAAGCTCTGTGCAGTTTCAAGTGCTTCTTCAAAAAGAACAGTTTCAATATAAGTTGCCTCACAGATGTCTATCCTAGTTACAGTGTGGAAATGTCTATGCTTTTTAGCAGAGGTGGATTAAAGCCAACTGAGGCTCATTTCCACATACACTTCCTCCTCAATAACAGACTCTCCTTCTCTTCCCTCCCCCCCCCCCCACTCCCAGGGCTGGTCAGGCAAGCAGATGAAGTCTAGCCAACATTTTTTATGTCCCACAAAAATCCACAATAACTCCCCTCAGTTTACCATACTGTGAGGTGCATGTGCATAATATACCTCTC